TTATTTTATTGTTTTAATCTATTAAAAGGTGAGACTTTTTGATGAGTCAATAAATTCCTAATAGATTAGATAATGACAAATTACATTAGTGAAATAATAATTAGTTGATAGAACCGTGTCTCGGACCCGAGTTGAAGACACCCCTTTATGATTACTTATAAGTTTTCACGTGAAAACCCTGCAGGTGGATTTTAGATCCGTCACGTGAAATAAGTTAAGTAAATATAATAAAGGATTAATTTAGTCAATGAATTAAATTTTCAGATAATTTTGATTTAATTGATTGGTGTCGGTAATTCTAACACGGGGGGTTAAATAAGATGTAGTGGTAGATTTCGAAATTAAATCGAGGAGTGCAATTACAGAATTTTAGTGGAATACTTTGTAATTTATTGCGATATGGTTAATTCGTTCATTTGAGAATAATTATCGTAGTTGGAAGCCTCTATTAAATATATCTACGGTCCCTACTATGCCTGATTAATTGACCAAGTTTGAAAAGAAGGACAAATTAATTTTATTGTTGATCTTCTTTAAAGGATGAATTATTTGAGAATTAAAGATTGAGTTAGTGACAAAAACGTTTGGCCTTAAATGGATGAAAACATTTTTGTTCTTATTACAAAAACGTTTGGCCTTAAATGGATGAAAACGTTTTTGTTCTTATTACAAAAACGTTTGGCCTTAAATGGATGAAAACGTTTTTGTTCTTATTACAAAAACGTTTGGCCTTTAATGGATGAAAATGTTTTTATCTCAATTTATTCTCATGATCCTCTTGATTGCTAATTAAACCTGAAATTTATTTGGACATTTTTCCTATTCATTCTTGAGTTGGAAAACTAGATAAATAGGCTGGATGTGGCATGAAAGAAATCATCTTTGAAATACAAGTAATACTTGCCTACACAAGTAACTTGGTAGTAACAGTCAATCAGGAAATAGGAGAAGATCATAGCTCTGGATCCTTGGCATCTGGACGACTTTTGTAGAAGTTTCAACAGGTTAGTGTTCTTCTAAATTCGTTTATGTTATATTGTTTAGTCTATATGTATGATTTGTGATACTGAATATAGCTTCCGTTGTGCATATTCTAACAATATTTTCAATTTCATTTGTTTTAAGGAGTATTGACTTGATATTTTACATTGCAAGATATTTTATTAAGTTAGACTTGATAGATTATCTTTTTGTCAGATTTTTTATAATTTTATGACATTGTATTTATAATATTAATCTTTTATTCAAACATGCATTTCATGCATAGAGATTATGTACTTTTAGTTTTTATAATTACTTTAATTAAAACATACTGAATTGAAAAATACAAATCAATTATTTTTTATAATATTATTTAAGCACATATGTTTATTAATTAATTTATTTTCAAAAGACAATATATATCTTAATATTCAATTTAATATCATGTGTTTGGTACACACGTGTTGCTAAGCCTTTTTTATCAAAATATCTGAAATACCCTTAAAGCTGTTAAACATTATAAAATACTAATTATTATAATTTTTATTTCTAAAATAAATCGAATAAAAATTAATTTATATTTTAATTTAACTTCAATATAAATAATAATGACTATATCTTTTCTTTACCACAAATAATCTATAAAGAAAAAATAAAAAAGGAAAAAATAATTTAGAAGAAAAAAAATAAAGAAAGAGCAAAGAGAAGTGGAAAAACGGAAGAAAAGAGAGCAAAAAGAGGGGGAGAAAGGGATAAAACGAAAGAAAGAATGAGCAAGAAGAAGAAAAAATGGAGGAAAACAATATAGAAATTATAAAAGAATATTAGGGATAAAAAGGTAGGTGCTTTAGACTAGAACCTTACTCTAGCACCGCGAAGGGATAAGATGTTTGACTATAGTAGTATACCTTAATCATCAATCTTCATGTTCTCCTATTTAAGATCATATCAACGATGAGATATAGTTATATCATATCCTATTTTGAATTCTTTTTTAATCTAGTTGAAGAAAATGATAACGGGTTGAATTTCTTAAGCTTCTTTCAGATATTTACTTTTTTATTATTTAAACATAAATTTTAACTCTTCTACCAACAATTGTAATGTTAGTACTGTAGTTCGATGAGAAGGTTTACGTTATAATACAAAGAGAACATATGCTTATTTATCTATTTAACATATCTTTAACATATACATACATTATTTATCTATTTAATATATCTTTGATATATATAAATATCATAGCGGGATGGATTCTTTTTCATAAATCATGTGAATTTTTTCTATATAATATATACTAATTGATAATGAGGTTCTTTTTTTAAAGAAAAATAATGAGTGATGATGAAAGTTGAAACTAGGAGTGATTTCCTTTCTCTATTGCACCTATTGAATTATATATAATCTTGAGTTCTTGACCACCAAATTTAAAATTATACATTCATATATTTTTATATCACACATAAATAACCTGAGTTGATATTATTATTTAAATAAACTAATAATAATAATATTAATACATGCCGGTTACATATATTAGACGAACGTGTATGTTGAACTAGAATTTAAAATTTTTAAGTTTAGACTTATCATTAAACTTATAATCTTTTTTTTAGTAAATTTACAATTAGATATTTATATATATTTAATAAATGTCCTAATACAAATACAAAATAAAAATAAAAATTATTGAGTTCGTCTGAATTTTAAGAGTGTCTTTGTCAACGTGATTAACATTTACAACTTCATAATCTTAGTACAGTACTTTTTAGATGTGAGGCTTATGGGGACAACCTTGTGAATCCAAAAAAGAAAATATATAAATATCATATGGTTGTTGAAAATTCCTTATTATTTTTTGTTTGAAAATTTTAGTATCATCACTCATCTCATATTTTGTGATATTTTCTTAAGCAATACCTTAGATAGTTATATTTTGGTATGACTAAAGAAATATTTGGAGCACAACTTAATTATATGTTTTTACAGAAATAACTGGAAAAAAAAAACTACAGTTGAAAAATCCTAGTTTTAGTAGTTTGGTTTGTTTATAAATTTAAAAATCTAACATAAATAATTTAATTTAATAGTTAAAAAACTCAAATCAACCCAATCATATACACCCCTAACCACAATTATGTGGCCCAAAAACGACCACTAATATAAAAAGATTATACTAATTTTTTTCTCTAAAGCAAAATTAAACAAGTGGATTGTTCCCATTTGGACAATATTTAATAGAAGTTCAAAAAAATGAAAATTTGAAGTTGAAAGCACTTTGAATTTTTATAAATGGCAGCTATTGTACCACTTGAAATACCCCTCAAACTAGTCCTTCAACTTCAAATTCTCTATTTACATTTAAGTTAAAACAATGGATAGAGTAATAAAATACAATTTATAAAAGATATATTTTTTATTTCAATTTATGTGAATGATTTGAATTACAAAAAGTTAAAATACTTAATTTTAATTATGAAATTTGGTACATATTAATTGTAACGATCTGTTAGGTCTTGTTGAGTAGGAGAGCCTTTTTTTCATAAAAGATCCTTCCATCAAATTTTTAATGAGAATTTTGAACTATTAATTTAACTTTGGCTATTTAATTAATGAATAATTCTAAATAATTAATTTAATTGATGGTTAATGGGCCTAGTGCACAATTTATTTATTTAATAATTATAGAGTTGGCTTAGCCCCATCCGGCCCAAGCCTCTCCGGCCAAGTAATTTGAAGGTCTAGGGCGGGCCGGCCCTTCATTTGGAAGGGCGAAGGGCTTGAAAATGTTCAACCCAATCCAACCCTAGAAGGGCCGAGGGCTGGGGCGGGCTAGCCCTTCTTTTTTTTCTTTTTTTCATTTTTCTTGTTTTCAAACTTATAATTCTATAACATCAAGAAAATGAGAAGATTTTCAAATCAAATATAGCAAACAATGGTGTTGTTTCAATAACACTAGCAAAAAAATCTAGTGTCATTAGCATGTATCTCGCATACCAGATACGCGAGCGAGATAAAAGATTGACAAGTAAGATGGGAGGGAGGCAAGGGCGCAAGATTTATCTATGTATCCTAGATACATGTGATTCTACTTGGATAGAGTGTATCTAGAACATATTAACCTAATTTTGAGTCCATATATTCCGAGATACATGTATCTGGACGTACCAAAATATGGTAAGATTCATAATATTACAACATAGTGTGTATTTAAGTAATTAGATTATATACTAGTGAGATTATTGTAAGCTACCCTTAAACAAATAGTTTTGGCCCATGGGCCAACCTCGGTTCTGCCCCGATCAAGCCTCAAGGGCCAAGGGCTTATATGGACCGGGCTTATAAGCCTTAATTTTAAGGAAAATTACGCGTATAAGCAAACATATAATAGTTAATTACTTAACATAGCTATAGTTTGCCTTAATTACAATTCGCGGCCTACTTTTAGCTATAATTACGCAGCTCAGCTTTTTAGTTTTGTATAATTCGCACATTTGTATAATTTGGAATTTGTATAATATAATTTGTATAACTTTTGTATAATATAATTTGTATAACTGTTTACACTTTTGATGTTTGTAATTGTATAAATTCATTATTTCGAGTTTACACAAAAATAATTGAATTATACAAATGTACCCGCGAATTATACAAACCTGTGAATTTATACAAATCCGCGAATTATACAAACGAGATAGCTTAAATTGTAGCTACAACTCATAAATATGCAAACTATAGTTATGGAGCATAATTAAATTTATTATAGTGACTATTTGTAAAAGTTTCTCTAATTTTAAATGGGCTTGAAAAATCTTATCCCAACCCTACCCCAATATTATCTCTTTGCGTAAGTTCCTTGGCTTGGACAGGGCATTTAGTCCATGCTACTCTTTATGCATTCAGAGAGGACTATGTTTGGTGGAATAATTTCTTAGATATGTTTACTAGATGGTGATGGAATATGTGTTCCTTATTCTGTTCAAGTGTTAGTGTTATTGACATTTTCCCTCGTTCACTATTTTCTCGAACAGCATATGCTTCCAGCTTTTTACTTGAGCTGTAGTGAGATGCTGAGTAAATGGGAAGACGTTGTTCAAGTTGAAGGCTCTCATGAGATAGATGTATGGCCTCACCTGCAGCAATTGACTTCTGATGTGATCTCTCGGACAGCTTTTGGCAGTAGTTATGAAGAAGGTAGAAAGATTTTTGAACTTCAACAGGAACAAGTTCAGCATTTTCTCGAAGTTACACGCTCAGTTTATATCCCAGGATGGAGGTAACTTAATTCTCCTAAGAATTTGGAAAATGTAGCTATTGGAAATGCAAATTGATTAGTTCTATTTTTTGTGAATGCATTTTGGTTTTGTGTTTCATAAAACAATTTCAAAGATTTTTGCCAACAAAGAGGAACAGAAGAATGAAGGAAATAAAAAAGGATGTTCGGTCCTCAATTAGAGGTATTATTGATAATAGATTGAAGGCAATGGAAGCAGGGAACGCGGATAATGAGGATCTATTGGGCATATTGCTGGAATCGAATTTTAAAGAAATTGAACTGCACGGAAACAAGGACTTTGGAATGAGTATCGAAGAAGTCATTGAAGAATGCAAGCTATTCTATTTTGCTGGTACAGAAACTACATCAGTGTGGATTCTGTGGACTCTGGTGTTGTTGAGCAGATGTCCAGATTGGCAGGCACGGGCCAGAGAGGAAGTCTTGCAAGTGCTTGGGAGTCGGAAACCAGATTTTGATGGATTAAATTTTAAATGGGCTTGGAAAATTTTGACACTATTAACACATGATGGGTTCTTTGGGAAGATAAGTTAGTTGTTAATTAAGAAAGAGTAATCATACAGTAATGATTGACTCATTATATAAAGGAGGATACATTTTTAAAAGGAACTGAAGTATGTTTGCCATGAAAGATTAGAGTTTTTTTGTTAAATTTTCATTTAGTTTCTGTCGAGATTCTTGCAACCATTGAATATTAAGCATAAGTTACATGAATACCATTAGATTATGTTATTTGAAGGAATTATGACTCAACCCTAGGCTTGAATTTTTGAAAATATGAGACTTGGCATATTAATTATACCAAGATTAGGAGATTGATTAGAGATATGAGTAAGTTTTTTGGGTTTAGACTAGACATGTAGTAATATGAAAGTCTACAGATTCGTTTACTTACGAATAATGACTATTTGATAGATTGGGGACATTCTGAAGCTTACGAAATACTGTCACCTTTCTTCTTCTTTTTTCCTTCTAAAATATTGCTTGATCGATCAATTTGACGTAGGACTAGTTTGGGGAGTATTTCAAGTGATATAATAGTTGTCAAAGTGCTTTCAACTTTAATCAAATCTTGTCCAAACGAGACTAATCCACTTGTTTTAATTGAAGAATTATTTATTTATGAGATAAGCGTCAAAAACACACCTAAACTATCCCCATTTTTTGAATTTCATGCCTAAATTAACTATTGAGAGTGTGAGTTTCATATCTAAACTATCAACATTGTCACCATAAAAATCTTTTTTAAGATTATCAAATTGTTCAAAGGATATTTACAGACAAGCCTATACATATGATATCCGTTATATTTTAAAAAATAGACAACTTATCTACTACTATAACATATATAAATTAAAAGTGATCCAATAGCATAAAAAATATTTATTTTGACAATACTATAACTAAAACTCTTTTTCTTTAAATATTTAATTTGTGTTGTTTGGTGGAGCAAAGGTATAGAAACTACCATCACCAAATGCAAATTATTGCAGCATCACTTGAGCAATCAGCAGGAATTGGATCAAAAAAATCATACACACAACTTGCTTTGCATAAAATTTTGAAGCATTTTCGATGTCTAGAGAAAATGAACAAAAATGTCCTTAATGTATGAGTTGATTTTGAATTTATTTGGTCCTTGATATATTTCAAAATGTAATTAGTGCATTACACAAAGGTACTTCTGTAAAATGCAATCTGATTTCAAAATTCCTAATCCTAACTTGAAAGAGCTTTTTAAAAACTTTGAATATAGAATTGAAGATTGAAGAAAAAGAAATTTTATTCGATAAACTATGGAAAGTATCCTACAATATCTTTGATTAGTCCAAGTAGATGTCGATGCTGCCTCAATTTATTTTGACAGCAAAAGTCACGATTGTCTTTACTTAAATAATTTAGGCCTAAAGCTAAATTGATCATATTTTAGCAAAAGTTACGATTGCTTTACTTATATAACTTAGGTCTAAATTAATCATATTTTAGAATACATTTAGGACTATTTTTATCATATTTATACATCAAAGACAAAATGAAATCCAAGTCCACACATGGAGGGTATAGATTATTGTAATCATGTTTTTGCCTAAAAGATGCAATTTCTGAAGAAGAGAAAAGCTACAAGCAAAACTTTAGGGGAAGAAGAAAAAATAGAATAAAATGTGTCGGTCATCATTTACTCCAATAATGTTTTGTTTTTTGTTTTTTTTATCAGCCATTACTAAAGGTTGTGAGCATTGATTTGGGAAATTAGATTTGATCCCTACCATATTTATTATTCACAAAGGTACAAAATGAGAGGGGTCACGTGTTGAAGATAAGGGAAGCTGAAGAAAAGGAGACATGTTGTAAAATCAACGTGTATAATTGTTAACTGTTATAGAATAAGAGTCATACTAGGATTGAATTATTGTGTTAACTAAACTCGACTAGGCTACTATGTCTTGTGTTAGCTGAAGTCGATTAGAATAAGCTATAATTGTAGTAATAGTAGTCAACCTCCACTCTTGAAAATTGTATATTTATATTGTAGTAGAACTTTAAATGTAGCTAACCTAGGACTCTACAATTTACTCATATATAAGGAGCATGTACTCGACAATTTACATCATTAATACAATCCTTGATTTCTCTCATTCTTTTACTTGAGAATTCTATTTCTCCTTATAAAAAGCATGAACTCAAATCATTAATAGAATCCTTGATTTCTCCTGTTCTTTAACTTGAGAATTCTACGGCATGGACCCCAAGCATTTGGTTTCTTATTATGTAAAAGAAAGGATATTGTAAAGACTATTCTTTTTTTATCCTATTTGACTTTAGCTAACACAAGACAATAGTCTAGTCGACTTCAGTTAACATAGTAGCCCACACCTGCACTCGAGTTTTTGGAGCAAAATCATGCATATAATGAATTGAAGATCTTTTATTTATATGCGATGTATAATGTATTTTATTTTACTACATTATTTTATAATTATAATGTTAAAATAAATAGTATCGTTCATTGTTTAATAGCACTTTATTGTTTGGTTTTCAACAATCATTAAATTTACTTGAGTATCGTTGATTATTATAGATAGAAAACTTATCAACAATTACTATAAAAATATCTGAAGACGATTTGTTCTTGGCTGTACTGCCTCATTGCACTAAAGAACATACTAATACAGTCAGCTTCAATTTGCACTTGTGTTGATTAATTATTGGCTGGCCTCGTACCACTTTATATAATAATATTTGTATGGTATAAAAACTGGCCAAATGTGAGAATCAGGTAAAGACAACCTAACCTCAAGAGGGATATTACAACTACTCGTATGAAAAACTAAGCGAGATAATCCTCAGCTACCTCTATCCTAACTTATGTCATCCATAATCTTCTATCTAAGGTCGTGTCCTCAATAGTTTGTAGTTGTATCATATCATGTTTAGCCATCACACCTTCATATTGGTGCATGCACTCATCCCTTCTTTACATGCCCAATGCATCAAAGTCTTACTTCCCACACCTATCAAGGCCACTACTACCTGGGCCCAGGTGTCCTCATTTCTAATTTTATATATCTTCTATTTTTCCCACACATCCACCTCAGCATCCTTATTTCCACACCTTTCAACTTTTGAATGTTGAAATTATTGACCAACCAACATTCCGCTTCATACAACATAGCCAATCTAACCAACAGTAGATCAATATATTCCAAGAAATCTTACGTCTAGTTCATCCAATGATTCTTCAAGTCACTAATCGATAAAATACCAAACAAAAAGCAAAATAAAAGGATATCAAAGTTCACACCTATGCTACAGTAACAAGAATAACAAGTAAATCAATAGATCCATCCACTAGTTCTTTCATCACCACATCCCCAACACACTACATTTCCTAGTCCAAGATATTTCAATACTGAGCAGGGTCAAATGATAGAAGGTAGTGGAACAAGCAATAGAGATTAGGACATTCAGATACCACAAGGAAGTTAGAGAAGCATTTGGCCAGAAAACAACAGTAAAAATATTCCATGAGGCCAGTTAAACATATTTTGCATTGCAAGTGACAAAAAGGTACATGATATATATATCCTTTTAGATAGGTTGAGAATTACTTATCACTGGCAAATAGCAATTCTAGAATTTATGCACTAACAGTTGATGCAGTATGAATGTCATTGTGATATCATCAGAGGCCAATGACACAAATAACTCCCAGAGGCTGACTTGAAAAAGAGGAGTTTATAACTGATAGATCAAGTGATCACAACGCCAAACTCAGGATGTTCATATCCAGTTCAAACTTTCGTAAACATCTATTTAACTGCTGTATCCAGATAAAAATAAATGGGGGACTTACATGCAGTCAAGTACCTCAAGCTCCAACTAACACAATAACATAAAAGACACAAAAGCTCATCAAAGAAGGATAACTGATAGACAAAAATCAGTTATAAATGTTTATAAATGTTTTTACACATTTGAGCAAGAAAAGGGAACATCGATTCCAAAAGAGCCTTTGGGCTAAGCATTGAGTAATTATATCAAACTAAAGAAAGAGGTTGTTTTAAAAGAAAAGCTAAGGTTTGAAGTTCTTTTCTTCAAAGAAGTATATGGGGACTATGTATTCTCAAAGAAGTTTATAAATGTTTTCACATTTAAACAAGCTTTGGAGACTGAGATTTCCAAAGAGCCTTCGGGCTAGTTTTTCAGAAAAAGAGTTATCGCTTTCTAAATGAAGCAAAAGAGGAAACTGAGATTTCCAAGATAGCCTTTGAGCTAAGTTTTTGAGTAATTATCTCAAATCAGCAGGAAGGAATAAGTTTTAAAACATAAGAGCCAGTACATTTTTGGGAGTAGTATCGAGCACCGAGTTGGGGGAGCGTTCAAGGAACCCACAACCCCCATAGAACCATGTTAGCCACCATGGGTAGAAAAGGAACATACTTTTTAGATGAATCCTTTTCCAGATAGACTAGTGGATCCATTAGGCAGTTCAGGTCTTATACCTTTGGCCGGGTATAGGATTGTCACGCCCCGAGCCTACACCCTGGGCGGGACCGGCACCTGGAGACCATTACTGGCCCCAGGCGAACCCTTGGCCTGACTTTCTTAACTCAGCGGAAACTAAACTCAACAACACAACTCAATACAATGAAAGGTTATAAAACAACTTAACTGATGCATAACATGCCAAAAGGCAACTCGAGTCTCAAAATAGAATATTCACATATATACATAGATAAGAGACTCAATATTAACTGACTGGCTATCTATGAAGCCTCTAATATACTGAGATGGATGTTGGGACAGACCCCGCAACACCCTAATAGAACAAAACTAAGAACACAAAATAATTGAGTCCTTCGGAATGCAAGGAGGCTCACCACTGACTCTGGAGTGCTCAGCTGGATCAACGACGTGCAGGATGCTGATCCGGGGTACCTGTATTTGCATCATGACAAGATGCAGGCCAATTGGCATCAGTACATGGAATGTACGAGTATGCGAGCTGGAAAGCTGAACCACAACTTAAGCTT